GCCCTGCTGGCCAGATGGACCAGGCCTTGCCCCCCCTCCTCTTTAGGTAAAAACAAGACACTCTGTGGGACCCAGTGCAACTTGTCCCAAATAAAATCAACTAAAACCGACTGAATTTTTGACAGGAGAGGAACCGGAGGATCGACACAGGCCAGCCGGTGCCACAAGGAGGATGAGACCAGGTTATTGGCTATTAAGGTTCGGCCTCTGTACGACATTTTTGGGAGTAGCCACCTCCACTTCCCCAGCCGACCTTTTACCTGCTCCAGGACATTGTCCCAGTTTTTATTTTTGTTGGTCTCATCCCCCAGGAAGGGTATCTGAATCCTCCTTTTTTTCCACTGTAGGCCACCGGGCAGCCCGAGCCGCCCCCAGCTCCCCTCCCACCATCAGAGACTTGCTTTTCCCCCAGTTCACTCTAGCAGATGAAATAAAACCAAAGTCTTTCACAGTGCCAGTTAAAATGTCAATATCTCGTTGTGAATTAACTAAAACAATGAGATCATCTGCGTACACAGACAGTTTAAAAGACACGGGACACTGGGGGAAACACACACCAGTAAGTTGATCTCTAAGTTTGTAGAGCAGAGGCTCGATGGCTACCGAATATAACATCCCAGAGAGAGAGCAGCCCTGCCTTACCCCTCTCTGGATCCCAAATGGTGCGCTCAGCCCGCCGTTAATTTTCAGAACACCCGCGATATCACTATAGAGAACCCGGACCATGGCTATGAAACCAGGGTTGAACCCAAAAGCAGCCAGAGTCTGCTGCAGGTACTGGTGTTCAACCCGGTCAAAAGCCTTTTCGTGGTCTATTGAAATCAGACCAGTCTCTATGCCCAATGAACTGGAGAGCTCCAAAATGTCTCGAATTAAAGTGACGTTGTCACTGATGAGCCTGCCGGGCACACAGTAGGTCTGGTCAGGGTGGATGATGGACGCCATCACCTCTCTCAGTCTAAGGGCCAGAGCTTTGGACAGGATCTTATAATCTGTGCACAGCAATGAGACTGGCCTCCAGTTTTTCAGTTCCTTCAGGTCTCCCATTTTTGGCAGCAGGGTTATTGCGGCCCTCCTGCAGCTCAGAGGCAGTCTGCCGGTCTTTAGGCTTTCATTTATCAGCTCTAGTAGATCTGGTCCTATTGTGGACCAGAAACACTTGTAAAAGTCAGCAGGAAGGCCGTCCATGCCTGGAGCTCTGCCGCTCTGTAGGCTCATGGTGGCAGTGTGGAGCTCCTGCAGTGTCACCTCTGCTGCCAGCTCGCTGTTGTCAGCCTCGCTGACCTGAGGGGAGACCACTGAGGAAGCTGCTGTGCACATCTGGATTATGTGTCCACTCACTCTTAAACAGGTTTCTGTAAAACTCTGCAGCATACTTCCTGATCTCAGATGAGTCTGAGACTTCGGAGCCGCTACCCGTTCGTAAAGAATGAATGGTCTTCCTTTGTCCATTTTTCCGCTCCAGCCCAAAGAAGAAGCGAGAGGGGGCATCCATCTGTGTGATGTTCATGAACCTAGACCTGACCAGAGCCCCCTGTGCTGAGACGCCCAGCAGGTTGGCTATGGCCGACTTTTTAGACTTGAGGGAATCTAAAAGCCCTCGATTTGCTGTAGAGTCTGCTAAAGTCTGCAGCTCCACCACCTGCGTCTCCAGATCTTTCATGGACCGGGTTAAGTCTGTAGTGACACCGCGAGTGAACTGCTGGCAGAGCTGTTTTATCTGTGTCTTACCAAAGTCCCACCACTGTTGTATGTTAGTGAAGGCAGGCCTGCTCTCTCTGTGGGATTCCCAAAAAAACTTAAAAGCAGTTTTAAAAGCCTGGTCATTTAAAAGGGCCGTGTTAAAATGCCAATAGGCGCTCTTTAAACGGATGTTTTTGATAAAAACACCACAGGAGACTAAAAAATGATCACTAAAACCCACAGGCTGAATAAAACACCTCTTAAAAATATTCAAATGGTGTTTAAAACAATAAAAGCGGTCCAGTCTGGCCAGAGATAAAACCCCCTCCCTACTGTGGCTCCAGGTGTACTGTCTGTGCTGACTGTTAAAAACCCTCCACACATCACTCAGCTCTTGGTTCTCCATCAGCTGTCTGAGTGTGTGAGATGAAGGAGGGTGTGGCTCAGGATGGTTCCTGTCTAGGGTTGGATTTTCTGTGCAGTTAAAATCACCCCCTAAAAACATAAAACCATCATCCTCACAGTTCTTAACACAGTCACTTAAAATGTTTAAAAATGCTACCCTGTCCACCGCGTTAGTGGGAGCATAGACATTTAAAAACACAAGTTTCACATTTTCAAAGACAGCTTTAACTTTCAATAAAACACCTGGAATGACTTCATCAACAGTAAAAGAAAAAGGTAAAAAACTCTGAGCAAATAAAATCCCCACTCCTCCACTCAGACTGGACCTGTGGCTTAAAACCACCTCCCCTTTAAAAGCCCTTTTCCAGTCACTTTCATTGTCTGTGGTGCTGTGAGTTTCCTGAACAAACATGACATCAATACTGCTAGTCTCCATCAGTTTAAAAGAGTGGCTCGTTTAAAATCAGACCTGGCCCCGTTCAGGTTTAAGGTGCTGATATTAAAATCACACATGGATAAAAAATAAACAGCAGTAAGAAGAGCAGTCAGTAAAAGGTAAAAACATCTAAAAATCATCTTCATCATTGATGATTTGAGCTTTTACCTTCAGTACGAGTTTTTTCAGTCTGTATATCTCTTGCTCTGTTAAAACCTCCTCCCCAAAGCTCTTCCTGGTGAGCGGCCTGGCTGACCTAATAAATAACTGCAGGTCGGGAAAGAAATCTCCTACATTAAGCAGCCTGGAGCCTTTAGTCTGCTCCAGGAAAGTTTTAATTTTCTCCGGAGAGTAGCCACGCTGAGAGTCCTCCTGAGTCAGGGGGAAATCACTCTCTGACTCTGTGGACATCTGGACACTCGTTTTCTTTGTTTTACTGTTTTTTTCAGATTCAGTGTTTTTTCTTTTCTGGGACATTTTGAGGAGATCGTCATCTGACATATCCTCCTCCATCATTTCTTCAATTATGTCACTCTGCTCACTTGTCATGGCTTCACTTTTTGCCTCAGAAGACACCCCAGGAACCAGAGCCCCCCAAAACACAGGACCCAGAGCCCCCCCCAAACACAGGAACCAGAGCCCCCCACACACAGGAACCAGAGCCCCCTCAACCACGGGGACCGGCACCGCGGAGGATCACCCGCGGCGGACAGCCCCACCGGAGCAGGAAAACCTGGCCCCATGGCAGCAACTGGAGTGCCCCACACGGTTACCGGGGCAGACGTCCGGCTTTACCACCCACCTCCACGGTCAACATGCTTCTCCTCTTACTGCGCTGTTTAAGAGGAGCAGACCCCCACCCAGACTCACAGGCCTCCATCTCTTCAGCCTCAGCTACTGTGCTCCCCTCACTCAGCTCACCTGCTAATTTACCTGTCTCACACGACTCACCTACAGCCTCACCTGCCTCTCTCTCCTTACCTGTCACCTCACCCGTTTCCCCTCCCACCTCCTCCCTCTCACTACTCACCTCAGTGCTCCCTCCAGCCTTGCTCTGCATCTCTTCCACCTGTTTCTCTGCAGCTCCTGCTTCTTTTTCTTGCCCTGCGGCACCGGCCCCCACCGGCCACCGCGGCCGACCGCCGCACCGCCGGAACGGGCCGGGCGGTCGGCCGCGGCAGCGGCGGGTACCGCCCGAATCCCCGCAGGAGCAGGCGGCGCGGGGGCGGCAGCCGGGGCACCGCGGCTCGGACAGGCCTCAATCAAATGTCCCTCTTCGCCACATCCGAAACATTTCACAGTGGATGATGTTGCAAAGAGGATGTACTCGAAATCATCCACACGGACTCTGAACCGGTAATCAAACTCTTCATTTTTGTTGTTCAGCAACATGAAGAGCTGTCTGCGGTGAGACACTACATGTCTCAGGAGGGGGAGACTTACAGCCCGACAGCACTTTTCTTATGGGTGACACCACCTTTCCATGTCTGGACAGCTCTTTAATCAGGAAATCATCACTGATGAACGGAGGAACGTTTGAAAGAGTGATCCTTGTAGCCGGCTGTATCAGCGGTATCACCGGCTCAAACATCCCATTCACTGTAATGCCCGTCTCCACCAACCTGTTCACCTGTTCCACCTTCTCCAGGAACAGAACCACCGCACTGTTCATCCGGGCAGCGGACTTCACAGAGCCGTGCCCGATGATTTCCCCCCACGGCCAGTGCTACCTCCTCCACCCTGCACGGAGAGCCGGCTCCGGTTTTAATGCCGTGCTTCCGTGTCAGCCTGGAGAAAACGCTGCTGGACGCCATACCGGCGCCTCAGAGCGAGGCTGACAAACAACAAACAAACACTAAACTAACCAACAAACAACCAAACACCAACCAAAACAACACTAAACTAACACAACTACATTCACAAACACAACACAACGAAAATATACCGAAAGAAAGAAATAGAAAGAGAGAAACACTCAACTTCATCCAACTCTTCCACTCACACTCCACTCAGAGAGAGAGAGAGAGAGACAGAGAGAGACAGAGACAGACAGAGAGAGAGAGAGACAGACAGAGAGAGAGAGAGAGAGACAGAGAGAGAGACAGAGAGAGACACAGAGAGAGAGACAGAGACAGACAGTGAGAGAGAGAGAGAGAGAGAGAGAGAGACAGACAGAGAAAGAGACAGACAGAGAGAGAGAGAGACAGACAAGAGAGAGAGAGAGACAGACAGAGAGAGAGACGGACAGAGAGAGAGAGACAGACAGACAGACAGAGAGAGAGAGAGAGAGAGAGAGAGAGAGACAGAGACAGACAGATGGACAGAGAGACAGGCAGAGAGAGAGAGAGACAGAGAGAGAGAGACACAGGCAGAGAGAGAGACATAGAGACAGGCAGAGAGACAGACAGAGGGAGAGAGGGAGAGAGAGAGAGACAGACAGGCGGAGAGAGAGACAGACAGACAGACAGACAGACAGACACTGTCGATCCTTGCTCCCTCCAGACTTTATAAATACTGTGACAGCTCAGAGGTCAGAGGTCAGGTGACCCACCTGTTCTGTAGTAAACCAGCAGCCTCTCTGACTCCAACTGCTCTGCTAAGCCCCGCCCCTCCCTCCAGGACCAGCAGCCAATCCCAGCTCAGGACCGGGACCCAGCACAACAGGAGAACCAATCAGCTCCAAGTAGCCTCCAGCCTGGTCCTGGTCCTGCCCCGGGGCATTGTGGGAGATGTAGTTCCAGTGAGGCAGGAAGACGGGATGATTCAGCCACAGAGGAGAAGGAGACAGGCACTGGAGAGAGACAGACAGACAGACAGACAGACAGACACAGACAGACAGACAGCTGTTAAACGTTCCTGGTCCAACAGACGAGAAAAGTAAGACTGTAAACACATCAATGACATCAGACCCTGAACGCATCACGCCGCAGGTGTTACGCCCTCAGACCCTGAACGCATCACGCCGCAGGTGTTACTCCCTCAGACCCTGAACGCATCACGCCGCAGGTGTTACTCCCTCAGACCCTGAACGCATCACGCCGCAGGTGTTACTCCCTCAGACCCTGAACGCACCACGCCGCAGGTGTTACTCCCTCAGACCCTGAATACATCACGCCGCAGGTGTTACTCCCTCAGACCCTGAATACATCACGCTGCAGGTGTTACGCCCTCAGACCCTGAACGCATCACGCCGCAGGTGTTACGCCCTCAGACCCTGAACGCATCACGCCGCAGGTGTTACTCCCCTCAGACCCTGAACGCATCACGCCGCAGGTGTTACTCCCTCAGACCCTGAACGCATCACGCCGCAGGTGTTACTCCCTCAGACCCTGAACGCACCACGCTGCAGGTGTAACGCCCTCAGACCCTGAACGCATCACGCTGCAGGTGTTACGCCCTCAGACCCTGAACGCACCACGCTGCAGGTGTTACGCCCTCAGACCCTGAACGCATCACGCCGCAGGTGTTACTCCCTCAGACCCTGAACGCACCACGCCGCAGGTGTTACGCCCTCAGACCCTGAACGCATCACGCCGCAGGTGTTACGCCCTCAGACACTGAACGCACCACGCTGCAGGTGTTACGCCCTCAGACCCTGAACGCATCACGCCGCAGGTGTTACGCCCTCAGACCCTGAATGCATCACGCTGCAGGTGTTACGCCCTCAGACCCTGAGCACCACGCTGCAGGTGTTACGCCCCTCAGACCCTGAACACATCACGCTGCAGGTGTTACTCCCTCAGACCCTGAACGCATCACGCTGCAGGTGTTACTCCCTCAGACCCTGAACGCACCACGCTGCAGGTGTTACGCCCTCAGACCCTGAACGCACCACGCTGCAGGTGTTACGCCCTCAGACCCTGAACACATCACGCTGCAGGTGTTACTCCCTCAGACCCTGAACGCATCACGCTGCAGGTGTTACTCCCTCAGACCCTGAACGCACCACGCTGCAGGTGTTACGCCCTCAGACCCTGAACGCATCACGCTGCAGGTGTTACTCCCTCAGACCCTGAACGCATCACGCTGCAGGTGTTACTCCCTCAGACCCTGAACACATCACGCTGCAGGTGTTACTCCCTCAGACCTTGAATGCATCGTGCTGCAGGTGTAACGCCCTCAGACTCACCTCACACCTGACGCTGCCGCTGGCGTCCGGCAGCCTCCACTCTCCGCCCCGCCCCTCTCTCAGACAGCCAATCAGCAGCAGGTTGACCCGCGGCAGAGCCCGGTGACCCGGCAGAGAAAGCTCCGCCTCCTTCGCCCACGCTCGCTGCCGATTGGTGCTCCAGAACAGGTTACTGACGCAGGCCAGGTGCTGGCGGGAGAGCAGCTCGGACAGGAGGTCAAAGTGTGTGACGGACATGTTCTCCTTTATCTTCTTCACCACACACACACTCAGCTGGTCCGAACACACACCTGAAACAGGCATTAAACAGACATTAAACAAATATTAAACAGACGTTAAACAGACATTAAACAGATATTAAACAGGCATTAAACAGATATTAAACAGACATTAAACAGATATTAAACAGGCATTAAACAGATATTAAACAGACATTAAACAGATATTAAACAGGCATTAAACAGACATTAAACAGACATTAGACAGATATTAAACAGACATTAAACAGACATTAAACAGACATTAAACAGATATTAAACAGGCATTAAACAGACATTAAACTGATATTAAACAGACATTAAACAAATATTAAACAGGCATTAAACAGACATTAAACAGACATTAAACAGATATTAAACAGGCATTAAACAGATATTAAACAGACATTAAACAGATATTAAACAGGCATTAAACAGACATTAAACAGACATTAGACAGATATTAAACAGACATTAAACAGACATTAAACAGACATTAAACAGATATTAAACAGGCATTAAACAGACATTAAACTGATATTAAACAGACATTAAACAGACATTAAACAGACATTAAACAGACATTAAACAGACATTAAACAGACATTAAACAGGCGTTAAACAGATATTAAACAGACTTTAAACAGGCGTTAAACAGACATTAAACAGACATTAAACAGATATTAAACAGGCATTAAACAGACATTAAACAGACATTAAACAGGCATTAAACAGGCATTAAACAGACATTAAACAGGCGTTAAACAGACATTAAACAGACATTAAACAGACATTAAACAGATATTAAACAGGCATTAAACAGGCATTAAACTGACATTAAACAGACGTTAAACAGGCGTTAAACAGACGTTAAACAGGCGTTAAACAGGCGTTAAACAGACGTTAAACAGACGTTAAACAGACGTTAAACAGAGATTAAACAGAGATTAAACAGACGTTAAACAGGCGTTAAACAGACGTTAAACAGACATTAAACAGAGATTTAAACAGACGTTAAACAGACGTTAAAACAGACGTTAAACAGACATTAAACAGAGATTAAACAGACATTAAACAGGCGTTAAACAGGCGTTAAACAATTATAAACAGGCATTAAACAGACATTAAACAGGCGTTAAACAGGCATTAAACAGACATTAAA